AACTAGACCAAAAATACTTGGTAAGATTTTGTGTTTTTGCAGTGAGCAGCTCTCTCACAACCACAACAGACCGGTAGTTTTCACATCACTGCAGACGCCACACAAATCCACCTTTTGAGAGGTAAAAACGAAGTTCTTTGAATTACTATGCAAATCATTTTTTCCTCCATTGACTCACTGTGTACAGCAACAGGTCAACTACAATAAAAAGCTAATTGTAGGCACACCCCCACATACGTGGCACTAACAGATGACATGCCCACATATTCAACATGAAGTTTCCTGAATAACTGCAGCAGGGAGACATCACCAGACACCCACTCTGCAGTTTGCCTCCAATGCTCACCAAGGCTGCTGATGGCTTAGAAGCATGCATGGCGTCACTCCCAGGTTGTAGATGGGTGTGGTCTTCACTGACTGGTTGAACATAAAAGCTTGAATGCTGACACACACAAACACACATTCACTCAGAGAACACAGATGCTGTTTCCCTCTTCCTCTGCTCCATTTCCCCCCAGCTGAAGCGGCATCTATAAGGTTGGTGATGGAGTTTTTACAGTTAGTAATCAATAATTTTTTTTTCTGTTCTGTTGTATTTAATAGTTTATTTTTTTATGTTTGGTTCCTATAAAATAGACCTGGACTTCTCAGTATCTTGCAAAGTTCTTGGGAACGTCTGTAGCTGGCAAGTTGTTGGAAAGCAAATATGTCTCTGCCATTGTCCTTCCTGATATGTCTGTCAGTCTTCAACCTGTGTTTGGGAACTGGGCCTGTGGAGGAACTCATTATACCCAGTAAGTAGAGAAATGGATGTAATGTGTCCTGAATAGACATGTTTAATTTTGTAACACAATATAGTGGTGAAAATGTAAACATATCCAAACTAAGTTTAGAGTTTGATGAGTTTCAACTGTTCAGCCATGAACACAAAATCATGGCCAACAGTCAGGAAACAAATCAAACAACATTAAAGTGCAACTTTGTGGTTTCATGTAAACATTCTGACACATCGTCAAATGTAAGAGCTAAAATATTAAATCATGTTTTTTTTTTTAAGAAAAACTTTAGATAACAAAGAATGTAGTTTGTTTCCATCAGCCTGTGAAACCCCTTAGTGATAACAGATAATCTAAGTAAATGGTAAGATAGGTAACAAAATTGTCTATAAATTTAAACGTAATAATCTGATTCTGCAAATCAGAAAGGACATGTTGTTCTATAACTGTGTGATTTGCAGACGTTATGGTCAAATAAGTTGTGTGTTTATGGATTTATTCCACAGCTGATGACTCCTCAGTGCAGTATGTTTGGGTACTGTGAGTCAGAAGTTTTGCTTCAGCCAGAAGTCAGATGAATTCATCATTGTCAGAGTGCTGTGTATTTTGGCAGCGGAGACGTTAGTTTTGGAAAAAAAAAGAAAACAGTGCTGCTCAGTAGCAGGACTTTAAACTGGATGTAAAAAGGGTTCCTTTTTTGTAGTCTAATACCTTACCATGTCTTCATTGATTTGGGATTTTACTTTAATGAAACCATAAATGTGCTGACGTTGATTTGTGCAGTTAATGAAATTCAAATCCAAAATAAAGCTTGAAGAAAAGCCTTGTTTGCCTCTTTGTTCCAAAGTTCTGACCAGCTAAGAGGCTGAATAAGAAGTACAAAGTTGGGTGTGATCAACACCCAGTTCTTCACATTCCAATTAGACATGAGAATTTGTTTTGGACTGGATGGGGATGGAACATGAAACAGCTGCTAGCTGGCAGTACAAACAAGTCCTTCCATCTTTATAAGGTGGAAGTAACAAGAATTGTGTGACTTTGAAATAATCATGTCAACAC